CCTCCATATTCCTTTTTAATCATGAAAAGCAGCCGTATTATAAAAGCAAAGCAATACGAAATGAACGTGGTATAAAAATCCAAGATGGCGGGAACTCTACTTGACAACGAGGCAGTGCTCTGGCCGAGCAGCTCGCCCCAGTAAGATTAAATAATCCAAAAGTTTAAAATCAAATCCAAAAGTTTAAATTCAAATCCAAAAGTTTAAATTCAAATCCAAATGTTTAAATTCACAAATAAAATCGGTTTGGATTCAAATCAACAAGTTTAAATTCACAGAAAATAATGTTCAAATTCACAGTTATAAAGTTTAAATCAAAGGCACATCAAGAGGATTAAATATTGCTACAAACAGGCAGCCATACCCGAAGGGTGAAAAAGAAAAGCTGTTGGTTTTAGCACGTGCGGTATATAATAGGGTACTTGATCGGTAGCCCTAAGCACTAAACTTGATATCACTTTTAACTATCACCCCACCAAAGCGGTGGTTAAGGCCAAAGTAAGATGAAAAGTTTTTCTCTTATTTCATTACTGTATTTTTTTAAAAATTTTTTGCTAACACGTCTTCCCTTCATTTGTTTATCTCTTTTACTAAGGATAACTGACAATGGAAATTGGATTGGTAAAATCACACATTCCAATTCTTACGACAACATGCAACTGGAAGCAAGGGTCAACAGAACCGTCAACGGTGCCTTCAATAACTCTTCACCAGTCACCAGTCTTCCACTGACGGTCTACGTGGTTAAAGGTATCCCATCAATCATCATAATACCTGTTGAAGATCCTGATGGTGACATAGTGCGTTGTCGTTATGCCAGCTACCAGGAATGTTACAGAGGAATGTGTACTTACTTTCCTCATGGAGTACTAGACGAGGTAAGCTAATAGGAATATTACAGAGGAATGTGTACTTACTTTCCTTATGGAGTACTAAATGAGGTAAGCTAACATGTATGTTACAGAGGAATGTGTACTTACTTTCTTTGTGACCATTTTCAGGGAAATTGTATTCTCAGTTATAATGGCGGTGGTTATTTAAATCAACTCTTCCCAATCATTTTGAAGCTTGAAGATTTTCCTTCAGGGACGACGCAGTTTGATTCGTCTAACAGTTTGGGCTCAGTGGATCTGCAGTTTGTAGTACACCTGGTCAACTCAACAGGTAAAGTGCAGATCGCGTAAATACGCGTACCTTTAGTTTACCACAGTGATCAGTCACTATAAGATTAATCTACGCGTATTTTGAGCTTGGCTCTAAATTAAGTAAATAAAAGAGACTTATCAATACCACTTGTGCATATTGCGAGTGATTAAGCCACTTTCATCAAATACTTATACGTTTGGTCCTTTCCGTTAACTGTTTCTCGAACGATCGTATTTCCTATTGATAACAAATCTGCCAAAAACACGTTGATCATTATATATAAATGGGCGAAACCTTTTTGGTTATTATTCAAACGCAAATGTAATTTATTACTTAAATATACAGAGTAACAGAAAATTGACCACCAATCAACCAATTGTGAAAGTACTTTATAATATCTAGCTTTACAACTAATAATCTGATGATGCGATCAAATCGAAATGACATTTCGTGCACTTTTGGAATAGAATTTCGCGTTACGGGAAGGCTACGATTAGTCCACACTATTTTTCTAATATTCAACATTAGGTTTAAATGCTAAGAAAATATATTGGGTCATTTTCTAGAGTTCTGTGAAAATT